CACTTACTTTAATATGTTGGAGCAGGGAGTAAAGGGGTCTAGGCTAATCTTCCTTTGACCTGATGATCTTGTCTCAGTAAAAATGATCAAGTACTCAATTATTTTGTAGCATTTTACTTACTTACTTGAATATGTTGTAGTAGGGAGTAAAGCAAGAGGTCTAGGCTAATCTTCCCCCTGATGATGGTCTCTGAGTAAGAATGATCAACCACTTTATTGTTTTATAGCTGGCACCAGTGGAAAAGTGGTCAGCGCTGGTACCTGCACACCTCCACCAAAAGACGAGACTGAGGACTTTGAAGTGCCACCAGAGGAAGAATGGGCAGTAAAGGATGATCCTAGACTCAAAGTATGCGATAACTTTGTACAAGGTAAGATCTGAGAAACAGGGGAGGGATGGTGTTACAGAAGAAGGATGGGCTGCAGAGGGTGATCCTCTGGGATAGAGGAGGAAGTGAGGAGTAGTTGGTGGTAGCGGAAGTGGTAGTGGTTGCCGCCGGGTGGTAGTGGGGTTAGTAGCAGTGGGTGGTAGTGGTAGTCGGGTTAGTGGCAGTGGGTGGTAGTGGTATTCATGGTGCATGGTAGTGGTGGTAGTAGGCGGTAGTAGGCGGTAGTAATGGTAGCGGTAGTGGTAGTGGTAGTGGTAGCGGTATTGGTAGCGGTAGCGGTAGTGGTAGAGGTAGTGGTAGTGGTTGGTATTGATAGTGACAGTGGCACCTGGTATTGGTAGTAGTGGTAGGGGTGGTGGCTGTAAGGGTGGTGGCTTTAGGGGTGGTGGCTGTAGGGTTGGTGGCTGTAGGGGTAATGGCTGTAGGGGTGGTGGCTGTAGGGGTGATGGTAGTGGTTTCTTCAACTACCAAAGAGTAGCTCTATAATACTCCTTTCTCAAATCACTTTTCTCTCTCTAGACTTGGCACTCGATAAACCCGCCACACAATCGAGCACCTTCAACCAAAAAGAACTTACGGCAGAAGAATTAAAACAAGTCGATGAAAAAGAACGAAATCTAATATTTTCCCATTCCGGTCCTGGGCTAGCTGTCAATGGGGACATGTCCTTTACCCTGCGAGAAGGCTCCTGTTCACATACGTCCCATAGTAAAGACCCCTGGTGGAAAGTGGACCTTGGAGCTGAGCACATTATTACTGATGTCAGCATTCAAACGACAAGTGGTAGGTTTACCGGCAATAGTTTAACAAAGTCATATTATCAGCATAGTTGGTCTTGTCACTAATACAACCTTTATTTCTAGTTCTTCACTCCTTCTTTTCTTACTTCTACCTTTCGTTCATAATGCAGTCTTCCCATTTCAGAACATCTTTTCATTTCCTTGAGTATATTTTCTTTGTTTACCAGTATCATTATCAGTATATTGGTCATATTGTTCATATGGTACATCAGTATTATGCCATGGTTGCTATGGACTACTTCAACGATACGGCGGGCATCTTGGATCGCAAGGCATTATGGGGCATCCAAGGGGCAAATTAAGCTTTGTTACAGTAATGACGTGGATTGATATTAGCAGCTCACCACAAGAGAATACAACACAAGATGAATTACAGCGGCACATCGATCACCTTTACACATAAAAGAAAGACAAACAGATATATCTTCTGTCATCTTTGTTTTGTTCTGCCCCCTGGAAAGATGGCCGCCATATCGTCGAATAAGTCAATTCATATAAGTACATTATTCGCAAGAGGTTTGAAATGTAAAAAAATATACCTGCAAAATTAAAAAGATCCTATTTCATAAATGCATGTTTTCTTCCATGTCTTCTCTACAGAGGGTACCAAAGTAGATGCTTTAAAAAACTTCGAAATCCGTGTTGGCATCCTACAAGAATTCCAGAAGAATCCAATGTGTGGTGAAAGAGTGGCAGCAACTCACCTGGGTGAACTGTGGACATCCACATGTGATCCAGCCATCCCTGGTCGGTACGTGTCTGTGCAGGCCTTTGGAGAAACTTATTTGACGCTCTGCGAAGTAGCTGTCTTTGCCAGAAAAGGTAAGAGAACTCAGTGTGCTTGGAATCTTCCTAATGTATAGTTTTAGTGATAAGGGCCAAGGTAAACTCAGGGGCGGCAGAGAATAACGAGAATTATATTTTTATTTAGCCAAGGAATAAGTAAAAAAGTTCACCTCAAAACAGGGAGAGGGGAGGACTGCCCCCCCCCCCCAATATTTCGCCGTCCCTGGGACTGTAGTTTCAACTGCCATTATTAATATGAAACAAGTAAGGCAAATTGCGAGAGGCCAGGGCGAAAAACTGACCTCTTGCTTTGATGGCAGTGTCCTTTACATGATACAAAATATTTTCAAACCCCTTTTTTCTATTAGATAATCAAGGTAAGTGTTCTACTGAACTCAAGCGGAGACGTTCCAACATCGCTACTGTACCTCACAAAGATCGTGTTCTCAAGAGAGCAAAGATCACCTATGGACGCTATGACTAGATCCAGCCAGGTACTGTGAAAAATTGTGCCTCATATATACTAAGTGTGCTGTATCGTCAAAAGTCAACTATGTCGTATCATCAAAAGTCAAGTACTAAATAAGCTTCAGAATTTGAGGCCCTGAGACAACTTCACAGTCTACTCTGATTAAAGGCACGGCTAAATCACAGATCGAATTGGAATTTGGTGCATACTTTTAAACTTTCAATACGTATTTCAAGCTAAACCCACCAGTCTTACTCAGCCTTACTCCGACAACAATGAATAATACATCATACTTAAAACATTTAACTAAACACACAGCTATTTCAAAAAAGGTTGAATACTGAATACTGCATACTGAATAGTGCTCCAAGACCAAAAGGCATTGTGGGTCTCGTTAATTTGAAATAAAGAGTAAATATACAGCAATTAACTCTCTCATGTATATAGTTAGTATATTGTTTCAGATGGAATTCACTAAAAATAGAATAAATAATAATTATTAATCCTACTTTAGACAATGTCACTATGACCCACAATGCACTTCGGTCTTGGAATGCACTATTCAGTATGCAGTATTCAGTATTCAAACTTTTCTGAAATAGATGTATACCATAACTTACTGAAAATCTAATACACTAATATTTCCTAAATAATCATTCTACACCGAATCGAAATATGGCAACCAATTTGAATGACCATTGTTCTTGACTGACTAGCGTTAATTATATTCACGGGGAAGCATAAAACCTTTCACATGTATGAAAGGCTAGTCCAGAACAATAGTCATTCAAATTGGTCGCCATATTCGATTCGGGGTATTGATGGGTTGCAAGCATTCCCAAGAGAGTCAAAAGACGAAAACATGGCGGCCATTGTGGTGCCGTTCAATCAATGGATGCTAAGTAATCTTGACCCTGAAAACAATAGACCTATCCCGAATTCACTTGACTGACCGCGAAACAATGGTTTGAAGTTGAGGCTGAACTTGATTCTTTTATTCATCAAGTTCAACCTCGACTTCAAACCATTGTTTCGTGACCAGTCAAGTGAATATTCGGGATAGGTCTATTGAATAAAAAAACCTTAATATATTTACACCTACTTGCAAGAACGTTGACATACGAAAATATAACATTAGTAATTTAGTGAGAAAGGAATACATTAAAAGGCAAAAGGAAAAGTTCAGCTTCAGTGATCTTCTTTTGTTTTTTAATATAATTCCTATCCCACTAAATCACTAATGTTCTATTTTCGTATGTCAACGTTCTTGCAAGT